CCACCCCCCGAACTCGCTAACCGAGCTCTCCAGCCTCGGCCATCGATCGCGCCCGAGCTCTCCGAGCTTGGGCTTCCGCTCGGGCCTCCACGGCCCTTTTCCCGAGCTCTTCAGCGGAGGCGCGGGACGAAAAACTGAAGGCCTTGAGCACCGTGGCAAGGCTAAACACAGAAGGGGCCCTACGGGCCGAAAACGGCCCAAGTCGAGAGGGAGGACTGGCAGGAGGAGGAGGAGGAGGAGGAGGAGGAGGAGGAGGAGGAGGAAAAGGGCGAGAAGGAGGAACCAGAACTCCTCGCGTCGAGCAAGTGGGCGGAGAGGAGCAAGTGAGGGACGAGCTGCCGACGAGCGACGACGAGGAGGCCCCAAGGAATCTGTGGAGGTAGCCCGAGGACTCCAGAGGCCTCCGGAAGCCAATGGAAACCAAAAGGGCCACAACGGCAGAAAGATCTCAATCCTTGATCCTCGAACCTCGGCGCTCGGCGACGACGCTCCTCGACGACGACAACGACGACGATCATGACGACGGCAGCGTCGAAGAAACCCCAGAGACCTGAGACCCTGTTGCTCGCAGGACCCCCTCGGCTCAAGGAGGATATGCCTGGGGCCTCCCGGGGGCGGGGCGGCGACGTCCCCCCAAAGCCGACGACGCGATTGGTTTCATCCGCGGGGCCCACAAAGGTCTCGTTCCCTTCCTCGCTGGCAGCCTTCCACCCTGGGTCCATACTTGATGGCTTCTGGGGCCCGGCACACTGCTCCTAGGCGGCGAGGAACGATGAAACAGACAATGGGATCGACTAACAAATTGCATGCTAAGACGAAGCCAGGACCAGGACAACATCCGGCGAGGACACACTGGGAATCTCTGAGATCTGGCGGCTCTGGGGGATGTATCGGGCGCCGCGGCCATGCCAGAGCGTTCCAGCAGCACGCTCTGAGGGCGTCCCAGAACGCTCTGGAACGGATTTTTCCTCGTTTTAGCCCCGCCCGAGGAGAGCAGAGGAGAGGAGAGGAGAGGAGAGGAGAGGAGGAGGAGGAGGAGGAGGAGGAGGAGGAGGAGGAGGAGGAGGAGGACGACGAGGAGGAGGAGGAGGAGGAAGAGAAGGAGGAGAAGGAGGAGGAGGAGGAGGAGGAGGGGAGGAGGAGGACGCAAGAGAGGAGGTGGAGGAGGAGGAGGAGGAGGAGGAGGAGGAGGAGGAGGAGGAGGAGGAGGAGGAGGAGGAGCCCAAGGCCACGTTCGAAATACGCCCGAAGCCTGGGATCCCTCGACCACGTCAGCAGGGCCGGCTCTTCAACCCCGAGCCGCTTCCTGACAGTCCCCCGGGGGCCGAGGAGCGACCTCCCACTGGGGGCTTCCAGGCGTCGAGCCATCGGCCGCCACGCCTCCCCCAGGGCCCCCGACGTAGTGACGCTACCATGGCGCGAGCCCTCTGCCGAGTCGTGCTCCCCGTCCTCGCCCATCTCCAGGACTGCTTCCTCGCCTCCCCCTCCTTACCCTCCCCCTCGACCTTCCCCTTCCCTTTCCCCCCCTCCCCTCCTCATCTGGGGAAGAGGGGGACGGGGAGGAGAACGACGAGGAGGAAGAGCGAGGGGCCCACACACCCGACGTTGTGACTTTGTCATGACGTGGGCTCCCCGAAATCCGGACCCGTTCCCGGGGGCTGGTTTCTCATTCTGCTTTTCCAAACCGTCCTGTGGTGTTGGGTCCTCGTATTGGAAATAGCGCCACGCGTCTCCTCCTCCTCCTCCTCCTCCTCCTCCTCCTCCTCATCATCATCATCATCATCATCATCATCATTATCATCATCAGCATCATCATCATCATCATCATCATCATCAGCATCAGCATCAGCATCAGCATCAGCATCATCATCATCATCATCATCATCATCATCATCATCATCATCATCATCATCATCATCATCATCATCCTGCCTTCTTCTGTGCCTCCTACCTCCTCCCCCTCCTGGCCTCTGTCCTCCGCATCCAATTTCGGCACACCCCACTCGACGGCATGCGTTTCCCCAACACAATACAGCACTTCGTGGCCCTGTCGGGAGCGCTACCGAACGCTCCAATGAAGGTGTTCGAATGCGTTTGCCCCACCCAATAGAAAGCTTCGCGGCCCCATAAGGAGCTCCACCGAAGGTCCCAGTGGCGGTGTTCGCATGCGTCTCCCCCACCCAGTACAGCGTCTCGTGGCCCCATAAGGAGCTCCACCGAAGGCCCCAGTGGCGGTGTTCGCATTCGCCCCCCCCGCCCAGTGCAGCGCTTCGTGGCCCCACAGGGAGTTTCACCGACGGCCCCACTGGCGGTGTTCGCATGCGTCCCCCCCGGAGCACCACCGAAGGTCCCAGTGGCGGTGTTCGCATGTTTTTTCCCCACCCAATACAACGCTTCGTGGTCTGATAAGGAGCTCCACCGAAGGTCCCAATGGCGGTGTTCGCATGCGTTTTCCCCGCCCAGTACAGCGCTTCGTGGCCCCATAGGGAGCTCCACCGAAGGTCCCAATGGCGGTGTTCGCATGCGTTCCCCCCACACACGCAGTACATTGTTTCATGGCCCCAGAGGGAGCTCCACCGAAGACCCCACTGGCGGTGTTCGCATGCGTCCCCCGCACCCAATACAGCGCTTCGTGGCTCCATCGGGCGCTTCCCCCAGATACACAATACAATGGTTCATGGCCCCAGAGGGAGCTCCACCGAAGGCCCCAGTGGCGGTGTTCGCATGCTTGTTCCCCACCCAGTACTGCGCTTCGTGGCACCATAGGGGGCTCCACCGAAGGCCCCAGTGGCGGTGTTCGCATGCGTTTTCCCTGCCCAGTACAGCGCTTCGTGCCCCCATAGGGAGCTCTCAACACAGCCCCAATGGCGGTGTTCGCATGCGTTTCCTCTACCCCGTACAGCGCTTCGTGGCCCCATAGGGAGCTCCCTAAACAGCCCCACTTTCGGTGTTCGCATACGTTCATCCCACCGAGTAAGGCGCTTCGTGACCCCATAAGGAGCTCCACCTAAGGCCCCTGTGGCGGTGTTCGCATGCGTTCCCCCCGCCCAGTACAACGCTTCGTGGCCGCGTAGGGAGCTCCCAAAACAGCCCCAATGGCGGTGTTCGCATTCGTTTACCCCATCCAGTGAGGCGCTTCGTGGCCCCATAGGGAGCTCCACCGAAGGTCCCAATGGCGGTGTTCGCATGCGTTTCCCCCGCTCCATCCAGCGCCTTGTGGCCCCATAGGGAGCTCCACCGAAGATCAGCCTGGTGGTGTTCGCATGGTTCCCCCCCGCCCAGTACAGCGCTTCGTGGCCCCGTACGGAGCTCCACCGAAGGCCCCTGTGGCGGTGTTCGCCTGCAGCGTTCGTGACCCCGTACGGAGCTCCACCGAAGGTCCCAGTGGCGCTGTTCGCATGCGCCTTCGCCGCCCAGTGCAACGTTTCGTGGCCCCACAGGGAGCGTCATCGAAGGCCCCAGTGGCTGTGTTCGCATGAGTTTCCCCCGCCCAGTACAACGCTTCGTGGCCCCACAAGGAGCTCCACCGAAGGCCCCAGTGGCGGTGCTCGCATGCGTTTCCCCCGCCCAGTACAGCGCTTCGTGGCCCCATAGGGAGCTCCACCGAAGGCCCCAGTGGCGGTGTTCGCATGCGAAGGTCCCAGTGGCGGTGTTCGCATGCGTTTTCCCCGCCCAGTGCAGCGCTTCATGGCCCCATAAGGAGTTCCACCGGAGGCCCAGTGGCGACGTTCGCATATTGGCCCCGCTTCATGTCGGCGCACTCCTCAAGTCCCCAGTGGCGGTATTCGCATGCGTTCCCCCCGCCCAGTACAGCGCTTCGTGGCCCCATAGGGAGCTCCACCGAAGGCCCCAGTGGCTGTATTCGCATGCGTTTCCCCCGCCCAGTACAACGCTTCGTGGCCCCATAGGGAGCTCCACCGAAGGCCCCAGTGGCGGTGTTCGCATGCGAAGGTCCAAGTGGCGGTATCCGCATGCGTTCCCCCCGCCCAGTACAGCGCTTCGTGGCCCCATAGGGAGCTCCACCGAAGGCCCCAGTGGTGGTGTTCGCATGCGAAGGTCCCAGTGGCGGTGTTCGCATGCGTTTTCCCCGCCCAGTGCAGCGCTTCGTGGCCCCTTAGGGAGCTCCACCGGAGGCCCCAGTGGCTGTATTCGCATGCGTTTCCCCCGCCCAGTACAACGCTTCGTGGCCCCATAGGGAGCTCCACCGAAGGCCCCAGTGGCGGTGTTCGCATGCGAAGGTCCAAGTGGCGGTATCCGCATGCGTTCCCCCCGCCCAGTACAGCGCTTCGTGGCCCCATAGGGAGCTCCACCGAAGGCCCCAGTGGTGGTGTTCGCATGCGAAGGTCCCAGTGGCGGTGTTCGCATGCGTTTTCCCCGCCCAGTGCAGCGCTTCGTGGCCCCTTAGGGAGCTCCACCGGAGGCCCCAGTGGCGACGTTCGCATGGCGGCCCCGCTTCATGTCGGCGCACTCCTCACACGTTTCGGGGCCCGATTTGGGCGCCGCCGAAGGCCCCACTGCCTGCGCCCGCATGTGTCCCGGCCCCATTTCGGCACACTCTTTGCACGCTTCGTGGCCTCGTGAAGAGACCCACCGAAGGCGAAGCTCACAACGGCGATACTCGCAACTGCATATGGTTGGGCCCTTCGCCAGGAGGCCACGTGAGGGCCTCCAGAAACAGAAAATGCACGAGAAACCTTCGGTGCCTGGGACCCGACTTTGCGGACGAAATGGCTGCATCGCTAACAGAACCTAGATCTGTGAAGCTCCCGGGGCCCGACGCAAGGCAAATCGCCCGTGGTGGCGCACGGCGACGCCAGGGCCTCAGGGGTCGCGATTTCTTCACGACCCGACCGACGACGCATCGACGACGACGACGACGACGACGACGACGACGACGACGACGACGACGACGACGACCACGACCACGACCACGACCACGACCACGACGGCGACGACGCCCCGCGGGGGCGTCGGCGGCGGCGGCAGCGCGCGAGGGCCGCCCTCGAGGGCCAGCAGCGTCGCCAGCTGCTGCGGGCTCAGGGCCGCGCGCAGCCGCTCCAGGAGCAGGGTGAGCACCTCTCGCTGCCGGCGGGGGTCGCGGGGGGGGGGGAGCCTTCCCCTCGGATGCCCTCGCGGCGCGCATGCACCCCTGCCTAGAGCTCAGGGAATTTCAGGCCAAGAAGAGGGACGTCACTCCAAGCGTTTTCTTGAACCGTCATCCAGGTCCAGGTCTAGAAGCGTTTGACGAAGCAATGCGCTCCGAGGACACGCCCCAGTTCAGATTCTTCTTGAGCTTCCTGAGCAAGATCTAGAGTCCAGTCTAGTTGCTTCTTTGTCTCAAAGATATCCGATGGGTGTTTGGACACTCTGCAAGGAAGCTGGACCACACACAGCTGGGTTTAAGTCGGGCCTGTCTTCCTACAGGGGATTTTGGACGAACAATGCAAAATAGTCAAACAAATACACCAAAATGGCTAACAAATACTTAAAACATCGCCCCTGCCATTGTTGACTATCTTTGAATATTCCCCTGTCGAGTGACAGGCCCTACTTGAACACAGCTGGGTTCACTCGTGGAACATCGGGAGGTGGCGGGCGGGATGCACGTGCGGAAGCCCTGCGTGCCCGGCCACAGGAGGGCCGAGCACCGGAGAGACATCTGGCCACACATGCGGTGCAACTCTTGGCAGTTTGGCGGTGCGCATAACGGGGTGGAGGGAGGGGGGAGGGCCTCTTAGAAGGAGGCTGCTTCTGAGAAGGCGCCAGCCTTACATCTATAGATAAGGCCCGCGCCTTCTACGAAGCAGGGGTGCTTCTAAGAAGCCCTCCCCCTCCCCCCACCCCCCTCTGCGCGTGGCTGAGTAGTATTAGGTCGGGCATCTCCCCCTACAGGCGGATTTTGGACGAAAAAAAACACCCAAAATACTCAAAGAGATTCAAATAATACTGAAAAATCGTTCCCAGACTATGCTTGGACCATTATTGGATATTCCCCCTGTAGAGGGACAAGCCCGACTTCATAGTACTACGTGTATGCAGCTTTCTGGTGTCACTATATGTGCCTCTGTTGGAGACGTGCGTTCGATCCGAGCATGCAGCGCAGCATCTTGTAGTAGATCGTCTCCCGAGAGCTATGGCCAGGCAGCGGCCGTGACTGAGTTTACGCTACAAGATTTCCGAACGCGCGCGTCGCCCTTGTGTGGCCGGCGCACACATGATGAGAGGTAGGCTGTCGACCTCGTGTCGTGAACGAATCACGCCGGACGATTGTTACATGTTGTCGGCCTCCTGGGGCCCTCGCCGGGCCTCGGGGCCGTCAGAAAACTCGGGGAGCTACTGACCCGGGTCAATGCAAGCCCAGGTCAACCAGGCCTTGCAAGATCCTGCAAGATCCCGCCGGATCCTGCGCCCAAGCCCGGGTCAGTGCACCCCCAGCCCTGCAGGATCCTGCAAGGTCTGGCGCTCTGGCGCTTGTCCTGGCCCCCGTCGCGTGAGCCCCGACAGAAAACGACTTAGGATGAAGAGCCAGTCCCTGGGAAGGGGTCGAGAGAGCTCGGGGGGGTCCACGTCAGGAAGAATGCACGCGGGCCTGGGCCCCTCACTCTCCTCCTCCTCCGCCTCCTCCTCCTCGTCCTACTTGTTCCTCTTCCCGTCCTCCTCCTCCTCCTCCTCTTCCTCCTCCTCTTCCTCCTCCTTTTCGGGAGGAGAGGAGTTGGGGAGAAGGAGAGGGGGAGGAGACAAGCTAGGTGCGCTCGCGTCAGATCTGACGTCCTACTCCTCCCTCTCATCCCTGACCATGGCGTAGATCTCCTCTCTATTCGCACAGTCGGATGTCGTAGCAGGGTATATCATTACACGGCATAGCACGGTGTTGGAGATCAACGCGTAGCCTGACATAGCATGGCGTGGCGAAGCCCCAAAGTGGGGGGGGGCTTCTGCGGCCCCAAAAATCAACGAATCGACACCGAACTTGTATTCAATTCTGATGGTTGTTTCGGGGGGCCCTATTTGGAAGAACCGAAAACAATGCCGTGACATGGCGCTGGGAATCATCACGCCAGCGCTGCAGCGAGAGCACGACTCGGAACGAGCGGAAAGCGCGGAAAGGAGGCCACCGATGCAGCGGGAGCACGACTCGGAGGATGCGCAGCCTGACATAGTATGGCGTGGCGACGCCCCAAAGTGTGTGGGGGACTTCTGCGAGATTTTGGGATCTATTTTCGGGGAGACGTAAGACCCGGGTACAGGGGACTCGGAAATCCCCGACGAGGTCGTCAACAAAAATGACGAGGCCGAGCCTGCATTTTGACGAGGCCTCCCGCTGCAGACATCCCACGAAACTCCTCCTCGTCAAAATCCGAGGCGCGGTCGTCAAAAAACGATGGCGAACCCGAGTCCCGGCAAACCCGGGTCTTACGCTCCCCCGATAGTATGGCGTGGCGACGCCCCAAAGTGTGTGGGGGACTTCTGCGAGATGTTGGGATCTATTTGGGAGAGCCGAAAACAATGCCGTGGCATGGCGCTGGAAATAACGACGCCAACGCTGCCGCGGGAGCGCGAGTCGGAACGGGCGGAAGCGCGGAAATGAGGCCAACGCTGCAGTGGGAGCACGATTCGGAACGAGCGGTAGCCCGAAAATGAGGCCAGCGCTTTAGCGATAGGAACATTTTGGAAAAAACCGAAGCGAAAACCCGTTTCCCGGGAATCCTGTGTAACAAACTGTTATGCGGAGGGGGGCCGAACAGATCCCGGACGCCACCAGGGGAGAGAGGAGAGTAGTATTCATGTTGTGCAAGTGTGAAGGATGGGGAGCGGGAGGAGGAGGGGGAGGAGTCCTGGATGAGGGTGGGGAGGGGGAGCACCATTCAGCAAGAGGAGGAGAACGAACGCAGGCGGACAAGACCGAGAAGAGGAGGAAGAGGTTAGGATGGGGAGCCTATGGAGCTCGATGGGCGCTACAGTCGACGTAACGTGGAGGATGGATGAGTGAATGAATGAAATACTCAGCGAGGATGGGGCTTCAACCAAAAATCGCTGGCAGCCTGTGGCCCCAGTTCGTGCCAACTGCGGCACAACGTTCGGCGCCTTTGCCAGCCTGGGACGAGCTGGCGCGCTTGCTCTTTCGGGCGAATGTTCGCTCAGCGAGGGCGGCCATACGAGTCTCGAAGGACGGGACCTCGGACGGCACGACCTCACGCGATGGGACGACGACACGCGCGGGGAGGATGGGGAGGGGGAGAGAGAGGAGGGGGACGGGGAGGGGGAGCGGGGGAGAGGGAGGGGGGGAAAGGGAGGGAGCTAGCGTCTCGAGGTTCGAAGGTTTTTTCGCGTTTTTGGTGCCTCTTCGCCGACCCCGACGACGACGAGGACGACGATGATGCCGAGTGGCCAGCGGTTACGATGGCGACGACGAGCGAGGGCGACGTGGGCAAGCGAGCTTCGACGACGACGACGACGACGACGAAGACGACGGCGACGACGACGACGAGCGACGTCAAGGAACGACGACGACGACGACTACGACGACGACAAGGAACGCCGACGACGACGACGACGACGACGACTTCTCATGTGGATCGATTCCTGACGGCCCGTTACCCGAAACGGGCGCCAGGAGGCCAGAGGCGCTGCTCGAACCTGGATCCTGGACAGCCCGACGGCGACGGCGGAAACCGGCTAACAGCGGACCTCGATTCTCGACGGATTCGAAGGCGGCAGCGACAGATTGCGGCGCGGCGCCGGCGGTGAGGTCGCAGCGAAGTGCAGCGCGGTGGCGCCGGTCCTGCCGGCCACGCGCTTGGAGGCGTTGCCTTACTCAAGTGCATGGACAACAGTGGCCTCCCCAAGTCTAAGACGAAGGCAGAATCGAGACAAAAGCAAAATCGGACAATTGCGGCGCGGTGGCACCGGTACTGCCAGCCACACGCTGGAAAGAGTGGCCTCTCCAAGCCTAAGACGAAGGCAGAATCGAGGTAAAGTCGGACCGATCTAAATCGGAAAGCTCTGAGGATCGGCGGGTTTGGAGGATGCCTCGGGCGCCG